TTTGGATATAGCTCCCATATATATCAAATGGGCAACACAAGTCCGAATTTAAAAGATACAAATGCTTCGGCATATTTTGTCTTTTGAACTTTAAATTATAATTATAATTATAGCGTGTATGATTGAATTCTCCCATAAAAACTTTTAATTGTTATGCCGAGCTCTACTAAATTAGCAAAGTGGTGTAGGGTATCATAAAGTCGGCCCCGCCCGACTTAAAGACTTTCTTTACTGGTTATTTTTGAGGATCTTCATAGAATATCAGCCCGAATAATATGAAATTTTGCACACACAATCAAATTAGGCCTGAAAATAAGTATGCAAAATTTGATTAAAATGTGAACAAAATGCAGGTCGCATTTATTATCCGGTCGAGATCAAATTTTGCAAACAATATTGGTTTGGGCCAAGGACGAACCCTATTGAAATTGGTGATAATCGGATCAGATTTAGATGTAGCTCCCATATGTCTCTAACCGATTTCAGGTTAATTGTGCACAAAATGGTCAATATAAGTCCAAATGACCTGAATTTTGGCACATCCAACCGAATAAATCAAATTTGGTTAAAATCGGTTGAGATATAGCTATAGCTCCCATATATATGTTTCATCCGATATGGTGTTTAAGTCCCTCACATGCGTAATAAGAACTTCACAACAATGATATTTGGTACCAGACATCTTATATACCTCGGAAATACCTCTGCCAAATTTTATTGTGATCGGTTCAGATTTTTATATAGCTCCCATATATATATCTTCAACCGATTTCGGGTTAATTGTACACCAAATGGTCAATATCTGTCTAAAAGTCCTGAATTTTGGTACATCTAACCAAATTCAGCCTACAAACAGGTTCATCAAATTTGGTGAAAATCTTTTCAGATACAGATATTTGGTGTTAAGGACCCTCAAATTCGTAATATCCATTCGACAACAATGAAGTTTGGAAATACGTTTGCCAAATTTTATCGAGATCGGCTAAGATTTGGATATAGCTCCTAAATATCCTTAATTCAATTTCAGGTTTATTGTGCAAATAATGGCTAAAATCAGCCTAAATGGAGTGAATTTCGGGACGTACGTTTACATTTTGTGGAACTCGGCTCCGATGCCTATTTATTATTATAATTTTTCTCTTGCACTTCATAACAATATTTTTGATATAATAGATTAAAATGTCTTCGTCAAATTTAGTGAAAATCGATTCAGAATTGGATATGCCTACAATATATTAATTTCCTCCGAAACCAAATTATAACTGCTCTAAAGCCAAATGTTGACAAGTCGTATGATCTATCGGAACCCGCCCGACTTTTGACTTTTCCTTTAGAAACATTTTTCAAAAAACACACACATAAATTTATATTCCCATCAGGAACGTACACAGAAAGGCATTTCGAAACCATTTGCCAAAGCCCAAATAGCCCAAAGAGCAAAAACATAATTTCCCATGTAAAGTGTACAAACAATGTCAGAAAAACAACCATTTTGGAGAAGACCCGGGATCCCCACCCGACATTCCTGATTCCCATAGATGTCCAAAAGGCCTTAATATAGAAAACACAAGTCCTCTCATAGAAGAGCATGTCCTCTCACAGAAGTCCAAAGATCGTATTTCATAAAAAAAACCTAAAATTTAGTCTCATAGACACCCAGAATAGATAGGTGACTAGGCTGGATTTTGTCGGACTAGAAGTGTACTAAAATGTACTAAAAGTTTAAGGATTTGTTTTGGACAAACGGAATGAGGGAGAATTCTGAAATTTGGAATAAATGCAGTATAAATGTACCAAAGATTACGAAAAGTTCTGAAATGGTACTAAACTTCTGAAATGGTACTATTTGGTATTATGTGAACGGACAGAGCTAAAAACTTCAAATTTTGTTTGAGGATCAAGATTGGAAGGTAAGTTTGTTATTTATGTAGGTGGTTTTGGAAATGTGTACCAAGTGTACGAACTGTCCTAAATGCTACTAAATATAGAACCGATTGGTTTAGGATGAGTGGATGAAACTGGAATTTTGGAAATTTTGTTTGGAGGTTCCCGTTGGTGGTAGGTTTGTTATAAAGAAGTGGTTTTGGAAACTTGTACTATAAGCGCACAAAAATTACTAAATGGTACTATATTTGGTACAATTTTGTATTGGGTGAGCAGATAGTGCTTTAAATCTGAGGTTTGGTATTTGGGTCGCTGTTCGTATGTAGCCTGGATATATGAAAGCGTTTTCGAAAATGTGTATTATAATTGTACGAAAAGTACTAAATAGCACTGTATTTGGTGTTAGGTGAAGGGATAGAGATAAAATTTTGAAAATTGGTATTTCGATTACTAATGTTGTCTATGTTTGAAATTTGGCCGTGGTTTGGAAATGTGTCCTACATTTGTACTAAAAGTACTAAATGGTACTAAATTTGGTATTGGGTTAAGGAATAGAGCCGGAATCCTCAAAATTGATGTTGAGGTCTCTGTTGCTATCTGGAATTGAGATATAGAGATGCTTTCGAAATCTTGTACTATAATTGTGCGAGAAGTACTAAATAGTACTTAATTTGATATTGGGTAAAAGGATAGAGATAAAATTCTGAAAATTGATATTTAGATTACAGGTGGTATATGTGTTTGAGATTTAGCGGTGGTTGGGAAATGTGTCCTATATTTGTACGAAAATTACTAAATGGTACTAAATTTGGTGTTGGGCTAAGGGATAAAGCCGGAATTCTCAAAATTGATATTGAGGTCTCTGTTGCTATCTGGAATTGAGATATTGAGGTAGTTTTGGATATGTGTACTATAATTGTACGAAGAATAATAAATAGTACCAATGTTGGTATTGGGTGAAGGGATAGAAATACAATTCTGAAAATTGATATATAGATTACTTATGGTATCTGCGTATGAGATTTACCGTTGATTTGGAATTGCGACCTATATTTGTACGAAAATAACTAAATGGTACTAAGCTTGGTCTTGATTGAAGATATAGAGATACTATTTGGTGTTGGGTTACGGGATGGGGCTGGAATACTCAAATTTGATATTAAGGTCTCTGTTAATAGCAGGAATTGATATATGGAGGTAATTTTGAAAATATGTTTTATAATTGTACAAAATTGTACTAAATTTGGTATTGGGTGAACGAATAGAGCTGAAACCCTGAAATGTGATGAAGATGTTACTGTTGGCATCTGAAATTTAGATATTGGGGTGCTTTTAGAAATGTGTACTATAATTGTTCGAAAAGCACTAATTGGTACTAAATTTGGTATTTGGTGAAGAGATAGGGCTGGAACCCTCAAATATTGAGGTCACTGTTTGTGGTTAAGATATGGATATTTTTGGAAATGTGTACTATAATTGTTCGAAAAGTACAAAGCGTTGTTGCAGGCCAAACTTTGAATACCCTCCATCATTTGGACTGAATTTGGAAATATTGAAAAAATAAAATCCGTTAAAAATTATGTTCAAATAGAACAGTGTGGCTTGTTTGTTCGGGATACCGTAGTATTTTGTTGTTGCAAAATGTTCAGGCTTTATCCCTTTATTGTTGTTTTTATAAAAACAACGTTTGTTTATTAGTGGAGAACGATGGTAATGTTTACCAGGGGGTAAGGCAGGGAATACCTAGGTTTAGGAAAGAGTCACCAATCCTCATCAGTTAAGATCTTAAAAATAGCGAATATAGCCGTTATATTGGGGTCTATACGACGTAGACCTAAATAGGCATTGTTTGTCATAAGCCGTTACCATATTTATATTCGAAACTTGAAATTAGTGGTGAATAATGTAGCTAAAATCATCAAAATACTGTATATAGAGGTACCGTTATATCGGAGCTATACGAAGATCTGGACCTGCATAGACAATTTTCTGGACCTGCATAGACAATTACATGCTGTAGCATCCAATAGCATCCAAACTTCAAATACGACATCTCAAACAATGTCGTCAAAATACCGAATATAAGGAGGTACTGATGTATGGTGTCTATATGAAGGCCTGAGCCTGCATAGACAATTTTCTGTCACAGACTGTAGTTCCCATTTCGAACTTCAAATACCAAATTTGAAAGAATTCCGGTGAATAATGTCGCTAAAATCATCAAAATACCGAATATCGGGAGGTACCGTTATATTGGAGCTATATGAAATCGTGGATCTACATGGCCCATTTACGAACTCAACTGCCTACTGGCAAAATAAATATATGTGCAGTATTTTAGCCTTCTATCTCAATTCGTTCGAATTATACCGTGATTACAAAAGACAGACAGACAGACACTAAATCAACTTAGAATTTTACGCTGATCAAGAATATATACTTTGTTCGGTCTAACATGAGTATTTCGAAGAGTTACAATCGGAATGACAAAGTTAAAATACCCTCCATAGTATGGTGGAGGGTGTTTTACAATGGTTAGACTCCCACTTCGGGGTTTTTTACAGAAATAGCGGTTCGGTTCTAAACAGGATTGCAGCTCTGGTTAAAATATATTGACTAGTTGCGATCACGTTTAAAGGGATCATTTAACTATATTTAGAAGAAAGTACCTAAAAGACTCATTTGGTGACCCGCTTGAGGGCTTACATTTTTAAGAAAGTACTATATACCTAAAATGCAAGGATTCCGAAAAATCGTAGTTTGAAATTTTAAAAAAAATCTGGTGGTGAAAGGGAGTGCTAAACATGCCCCTTCTATTTAGGTTACTTTGCGCTGTTTAGATCACAAAACGCCGATGTTTAGCTCTACTTTCATAATGGAATAGATTTTTCCGATAATTATTTTTTTTGTGTTGCACAGTGTAATTAAAATTGTTGATTCTTTGGGGAAAACGTACCAGAAGGAGTTGCAATATGTTGGTGATACATAAATCTAATATGTGTATGGAACACTTGGAAATTATTTTGATAACTCCAAACTCCTTCGTCTTCCCACTCCAGCTACCGTGACCAAAGCAACCATCAACCTAACCCAGAAACATTGTTCGCAAAAAAACCTATTTAGAAATAAATTTATTATGCTGTTATGTATCTCCGCTTGTATTCATTTTATTACAAAATGTTCGTATGGACTATAGCTATTCTTTCGCAAAGAATTCATATCGGTATCGAATTAGAATTAGAATAAACGGATAGTTTTTGAATTTGTTGTTATTCCAACTTTAAATTTCCCTAGGCTTTGGGGGTCTTCTCCTTTTTCTTAGACTCAGTTTTGGTCTTCTTGGTTTTTTCGTCTTTCTTGGCGGGCTTCTTGCCAGTTTTCTTGTCGCCCTTTTTGTCCTTGGAGGCAGTTTTCTTCTTCTTCTCGTTTTTGCTCTTCTTGGCGCTGGGCTTCTTCTTGTCGGCCGAAGGTTTCTTGCCATGTGGAACATGTTTGTTGTCCTCAGCTACAACAACGGGTGGTGTGGGTTTGGGTGTTGGTGGCAAAGGAACATCGACGGGATGTTCTTTGTCTTTGTGGGCCTGAGCTTCAGCGGCGACAGTATCCACGGCTACCGTTTCAACGGGTTTGGCCAGTTCGGCAACGGGAGGTTGGGGTGCAGCAACGGCAGCCAATGTTGGTGGAACAATGGGCATTGGTTTTTCATGGGTTTCGAGTGGTGGATGACCTTCGCTGGTGTGTTCCTTCTGATTGTCAGCCAGTTTGGAAGCCAATGGCAGGCGATATACTGGCGGAGCGGGGATATAACGATTGGGTCTGGTACAAGATTGCAAGACAAAGGTGAATACTTCGCCAGGATTGCAGCTGATCACCACGGGTTTACCACCCACGCGATTGCAGACAAAATATTCAGATTTATCCTTGTAGTTGGGCCAGCGCAGACCCATTTCTTGGGAATGACATTTCAGGGGATAATCGAGATGGGTGGCTTGCGCTAAGGCAACAAAGCCCAGGGTGGCCAAGATTAGTCCAAAAGCTGAAATGGGATAACAAAAATAACATAAATTTTACAACCACTTGCACAAAATCGTGGAAATAAAAATTATGGACATGATCAGGATGTCATGTTCAAATGCACAGTTTTTTTTTAAATATTTTGAATTTTTTCACAGTTTTAACTTTTTTTTTGATTCAAAATATTTTGAATTTTTTCACAGTTTTAAATTTTTTTTTGATTCAAAATATTTTGAATTTTTTCACAGTTTTAACTTTTTTTTGATTCACTCTATGTAATTGTAACGATTTCCGTACCTTTCATCCTGCTAATATGCGTCGTAAATTGATGAATTTGTTGAACTGATTCCATCTTCCGATTTGTATCTAAATTTATACCTTTTGCACGGCAACATCATTTGATGGCCCCCCAAAATAAAAGAAGACAAAAAACGGCATATCAAAAATCTCAGAATTCACTGGCAACCGACCCATGATAAGAGAAATGAAAAAATATGATAATATCAATGGTATATTTCACAATAATATAACACATAAAATGTTTCTATTTTTTTTTTTTTTATTAATTTGTCTTTTGTTTGATTTCTTATCACTTGACAGCTTACATATTTTAACAATTTTTCAATATTGAGATGAATTTTGGGTCATATCGCCAGAAAAATGTCTATTTGTTAATGTGATTTTGAAATTGGTGAGGTTAGGGTTTTCCAACACAATGACATCGAATAAGTTTGGTATTTTATAGAAGGTCTTTTTTTGCAAATTTGGGGCAAATAATGGCCACTTTTTGTGGACTTCCAATAAGGAAGAGTTGAACATTTTAAATTGGAACTCTACAAAATGTAGAAGGCCAAAAAAGCTTACTTTTAGCACACCAAAGAAATAAGTACAGGCGACACGGAGTAAAAACGTCTGCCTAAAAACCATAAGAACGCTGACTCGGATCTTCATGCAAGTGAACACACACTTGATAGTATTGAAATGTATAAAATTTGAGAGAAATCGGACTTCAATTTCATTTCTTTCAGAGACATTCTTTTCAAATTCTTGACCTTTCAAGGGGAGTTATGAAAAAGAGTTATGAGTTCGGAGATGGGAAGTATTATTCCACTCTTTCTGGTATCTCTCCCACAGAGTCAACATTTTCAAAAAAAAAAAAAAAAAAAAAAAAAAAAAAAAAAAAAAAAAAAAAAAACTGCACAGAAAAAGAAAAGGATAATTCGATTTGGCTCTAACTTCGTAAATCTTATTATTTCCATAAGTGCTAGATCAGGTGCGAAAATGGACAATATCGGTCAACTCCATCAAGTATCTCCCTCACAAAGGGTCAAAATTTTGAATAATTATAACATTCATAAAATGTTATGTAACAGTTCAAATTACACTTATCACGTTATTTTTATTAACCCCAAGCTTGGTCTCCAGGCCTCTTTGGACCAAATCCGTTTCAGTACACTTGGAGTCGATCGAGCGATGTCCGTCCGTCTGGCTGGCTGATGCGCACGATAAATTTCGAGAGAGTATCCGAATTGGTCCAAACTTGGTACCCCGTAATATTATTATCAATCTTAGATCGAGTTTGGAGATTAGCAATATCGGCCCTCCCCCACAAAGGGTCAAATTTTGAATAACCAAAAAGATTATAAAATCCTCATAGTTGACACATCCCATAACAGTCACATAACATCTACTGGGAAGATGGGATATATCGGTTCGCTCCTTCAGGTACCTCCCCCACAAAGGGTCAACATTTTGAATCCCTATGAAGCTCATATTACGCGAAATTACCACCCGATTCCATTAAGACTTCTTACATCTTAATATTTCCATTAACACAAGATTTTTTATAAAGATGTTAGATAGAGGACCATTTCTTCTGGTACCTCCCCACAATGGTTCAAAGTTTTGAATAACCAAAGCGATCATAAAATAAGCCTCAAGTTCTCCTCAAATTTCACACATCTCATTATTTCTACTAACACAAGATATGCTGTGAAGGTGGCATATATCGGTTCACTCCTTCTGGTACCTCCCCCATAAAGGGTTGAAATTTGAATATCCATGAAGCTCATAAAATGCGAAATTAACATCCGATTCCATTCAGACTTGGTACATCTCAATATTTCCATCAGTACAAGATCTGTTATATAGAAGGTAGAGATCGGATCATTTCTTCTGGTACCTTCCCCATAAAGGGTCATAGTTTTGAATAACCAAAACGATCATAAAATCCGAAATAATCATCCTGTTCTCTTCATATTTCACACATCCCATTACTTCTACTAACACAAGATATGCTGTAAAAAATGGCTATATCGGTCCACTCCTTCTGGTACCTTCCCCAAAAAGGGTAAAATATTTGAATACCCATTAAGCTCAAAAAACGCAAAATTAACATTCGATCCTCTTCAAACTTGGTACATCTCATTATTTCTATCAACACAAGATCTGTTATAAAGATGATAGAGATCCGACCACTTCTTCTGGTACCTCACCCACATAGGGTTCAAGATGTTGAATAGATTCAAACATTTTTGCTAAAACCAGATCTGTTCTAAAGATAATATATATCTGGTATCTTACTCACAAGGGATCACAATTCGCAATACTTTCATCTGTCATAACTTGCGAAACAAGTCAGCGATTCTTCACAAATCCTATATCTAAATATTCCTCTGAACCAGAAACCTGATATGAATATGGAATTTATCGGAGTTTATGATTTCGAATAAAATTGGATAAAAATATTCGAATTTCCTGTAACTTTGACTTTGACCAATATTCTTATCTGTATTAGATGAAGTATGGAAATGGAATACTTAGGTCGACTATATATGGTACCACACGCACATTTGTAGTTTTTAAAAAAAATGTACACATAACTTATATAATATGAAGGAAGAGACAAATAAAGTGCAAACCTGGCACGTCGTAATATTTATATCATATTTAGTTACGCCCAATACGTAATGGACAATATCGGAACACTCCTATAGGACCTACTGGAGTCTGGGGTTTGAATAATCATAGTAGAAGTCAAAATATTTTTAAATAATCGACCATTGGCAGAGGATATACATCTGTCGACAAAACCGACTGATACTTTTTAACTTGTTTTTTCGAGGAAATTTCCTATAGCTCGCAAAAAATCACCCTTTATAAAAAGACCAAAGAGTCTTCTATCAATAGAAGACGTCTCAATTGTCCTCCATCTCCAAATTCAATTGTAACTGTGTTTAGGGTAATCTCTGTAAAATTTGGCTGTATCTGATAGCTGGTGTGAAATATCGTTGTTGTGGAGAGCATGAGGGACTTAAATACACAATCGGATGAAACATTTATAATGGGACCTGTAGCTATTTCTTAGCCGATTTTCACCGAATTTCATAAACATATTTGATATATTATCCAGAATATCGTTCTTACGAAGTGCAAATTACGACTGTGGGGGACAAAAATAACAAATCGGATGATAATATATATTGGAGCTATTACTAAATCTGAACCGATTTCCACCAACTTTGACAAACTTTTTTCTAGGCTAAATTTTGTTATATGTGCCAAATTCTATTCTATTCGGACTGACGTAACACATTTGGTGCACCATTAAAGGAAAATTAGCCAAAGATATACAGGGTGAGATGAAAAAACTGCAATCAACTTCAGACTGTTGTCATTTCTAAGCCACTCACCATCGCTCGTTACCGTGATACTGGTAGCGTGGCCCGACGTCAAGGAAGTGGATGGAAGAAAACGGCAACAACAGCAGAAATGGTTCGAAAAGCAAAGAAGCGACTTTATCGACACCCGCGTCGCAGCGGCCGAAAAGTGGCTCGTGAGCTGAACATATCGCAATATTCCATTCGGCAAATATTGAAAAATGAGCTCGGGGTAAATCCGTTGAAATTCCAAAAAGTGCAAGATCTTACACAGCTTAAGAGTTGCTTCGCTTGGCCGAAAGTGGTAAACTACCGAATTTGGTTTTCTCCGATGAGAAAACATTCGTTGTCCAGCAGTTCGTAAACAAGCAAAATATTCATGTTTACTTGCCAAAAAGGTCTGCTGAAAATGTGCACCTTCCACCAGAACTCAACTCAACCGGCAATGGTTATGGTGTGGGCCGCCATAACAGCCGATGGTCGCTCTCCGCTCTTATTAATCGACCGTGGCATCAGAATAAATGCCGAATATTATCGCGAAAATAATCTGGAGGGTATATTTAAGCCTTGGTCACTCAAATATTTTCGCCGCAGACCTTGGACATTCCAACAGGAATCAGCATCATCGCACTCAGCATGCGCCGCCCAAGAATGGTTACAAAATGAGATTCCTCGCTTCATTTCCAGCGCACAATGACCACCAAAATACTAATCCGTTTTAATATTGTGTCTGGAGTATTTTGGAAAGCAAGGTTGACACTAAAAAATACCAAAGTGTCGATCACCTCAAGCAAACGCTTCGCCGGGAATGGGCCAACATACCGCAGAGCAACATTCAGGCAGCGTGTGACGGTTTCAATGGCCGTCTGAAGGCCATAATTTGTGCCAAAGGTGACCAATTCGAACAAATCCAAATAATATTCCAAAATTTGATGCTATTTCCGACATTTTTGCTTTTATTTAGTAATATTTAAAAAAAAATGTAAAAATTATAATGTTTCACTTTCTTTATCTAACTCTGTACAGAAGATGTTCCACATGTCTTCCATAAAAGACAAACACAAAGACTTCTACAGGAAATCTCTCAAAGGCTTTGTGTATTTTACAGACCTCTGATGGATCTTCTATTCAATGTATTCTATCATTAGAAGTCCTCCTAGAAGTCCCCTATTTGTAGAAACCTCAAAAATGCTGTAAAACTTTAGAAGACCCATTAAAAGTCCGTCTTATCTATTATCAAGAGCCGCCTATCCACAGAAGTCTGTTTAAGGGTCTACTATCTAAAAGATTTCCAATAGGCCTTCCACTTTTAGATGACCTCTGAATCTTTCGATAATTTTTTTTTTTTTATTGGTGACCTTGTGTTGCTTTAATAAACACTTCTTGCAGGTCCTTCGTCTATATAAGATCCCTCAAAGATCTTCTACAAACGGAAGATGTTCCAAATCTCTTTCATAAAAGAAATGCACATGATCTCCTAATTTAAGGCTCTATCTCTATACTATCCCAAGGATCTTCCTCCAATCAAAGACCTTGCAAAGGTCAAAATGTTTTATTATTTTAGATGTCCTTTGGAATTTCCTCCTTGTAAAGACCTATCACTGGTCGACTGCAAACAAAAGTCTTTTCAACGGTCTCCCATCTGTGAAAAAGTTACAAAATCTCTTTCATCTATTGAGGACCTCTGAAATGTTCGATTGAAGATTTCTTTTTAAAATAGACCTCGTTCCACCCCAATAAACTCTGCAAAATAATTACATTCCCGTCGACACACAAAACATGAATAGATTTCAATAAAATTTGGGAACTTTGATCTCTTATCATAAAACAAACAGAAACAAATAACATTGTTCGGAAATTCCAACACAGCGCTGAGTTGTCCGATAGGAGTCAAATTTCTTCTCCCGATCTTGTACCTGATAAATCAATTTACTAATTGTCAAAATGTCATCAATGTCATCTTTGTTTTGTGGTTTTTTTCAGGCTTACTACTATTGGCTGAATGACATGTATATGGATGTACGTTTGGCCCTGCCCATTAACTCTAATCCGGGTATGGTATTTCCACCTCAACGTTTTGCCACGGTCCATGATGTGGCCCGATTTGCGGCCCGCATTATCGATGGCATCTTGGTGCACAAAGAAATGTTAGATAGCGGCCAACTGCCCCAGGAGAGAGCCACTTCACGTGAGAAGAATCAACCGCTCTGCATGGCTCAATATTATCGCCTGTTGGGCTCGTGTCGTCGTCCAGGCCTCGAACGTGATTCGCAATATTTGCCCCAAAGGAAGGCGGATAATCAGCATGTGATTATTACGTGTCGCAATCAAATGTATTGCGTTGTGCTGAAGGCCGAGGATCGTGGCAAATTGTCGGAGAGTGAAATAGCTTCGCAGATCCTGTATGTGCTGAGCGATGCCCAGTGTTTACCATCGAAACCACCGCCAATGGGTTTGCTTACGGCTGAGCCACGCACCCGTTGGGCTGGCGATCGGGCCACACTCCAGCTGGAGGAACGTAATCAGCGTAATATTGATTTGATTGAAACTGCTTTGATTTTGTTGGCCTTGGATGAACCATTGCCGTTGAATTTCAATGCCCGTGGTTTTAGTGGAGCCACACCATCCACCCACTTTGCGGGGGGACGTGACGAAACGAACATGGCCCACGAGATGTTACATGGCGGTGGCAGTGATTACAATTCCGGTAATCGTTGGTTTGACAAAACCATGCAAATAATTATTTGCACCGATGGTACCTGGGGTCTCTGCTATGAGCACTCCACGTCGGAGGGTATTGCTGTGGTCCAGCTGCTGGAGAAAATCTACAAGGGTATCATTGAAAACCCAAGTGAGGACAAAGGTGTGCCACAACATCATTTGCCACCACCCAAGCGTTTAGAATGGGACATTGCTCCGGAGATCCAGAAACGTTTTGCTGAGGCTGCCGTTAGTTTTGATAAGTAAGGGTTTGGGGGATTTGGAGATAGGGGAATTTGATTAAATTGTTGTCTCCTTTTATTTCCCAGGGCCATTGATAATTTGGACTTTTATGTATACCGCTACAAGGGCTATGGTAAAAATTTCATTAAGGCCTGTCAAGTTAGTCCCGATGTTTATATACAGCTGTCGCTGCAATTGGCCTATTATAAGTAAGTAGGATATGTTGAAATCGGAGGGGCATATGGTGGATCATCTAGGGTCCCAAATGGTAGAGTTTTACCTGGAACCTAATAAACCTATTTCTCTCATTTATAGACTGTACGGTCATTTGGTGGCCACATATGAGAGCGCCTCAACCAGACGATTCCTCTTGGGTCGTGTAGATTGTATACGCAGTGCCAGCACCGAGGCTCTGGAATGGGTAAAAGCCATGTGCCAAGGTGAAGGGGCCAATGTCGCATTGGAAAGTGATCGCGAAGAGGAGGAAGATCCACGTAAAGTGAAATTTAGCATATACAGTGTAAGTTTCCCCCTCCCTCCATTTCTTTCGTACAACTCAAAATATTATCAATTCATCCTCTTGCAGAAAGATCATTTGCGTGAACTATTCCGTTGTGCGGTGGCCCGCCAGACTGAGGTTATGGTGCAAAATATTCTTGGCCATGGTTTGGACATACCACTGTTGGGCCTACGAGAGGCAAGCCGTGAGGTATCCGGTGAATTGCATGAACTGTTTACAGATGAATCCTATGCCATATCACAATGCTTCCTGTTATCCACCAGCCAGGTAAGCAGGACAATGTTTGAGTGTTTAATATTTTTTATTTAGTTTTTGTTTAAAAAATCCTATAAATATTGCACAATAATACCGGCACAATGCACTCTTTAATTATATCAATGATAAAGAGTTTTTAGAGAAGAGATGAGGAGTTTTCTGAAGGGAGAACTTCTAGTTGGAGGCAGTCTGATACAATCCGGTTGAAGAAGAGAAGAAGTATCATAGAAGAGGAGGGAAAAAACGATATCCTTGTATAGAGGAGTAGAAAAGAGAGTCTTGTATAGACCGGGTCTGAATAAAGGTCTGTTTAGTGAGAGAGCTTTGATGAGGCCTAACATATATAAATGAGCTGCGAGGGGAGTCCTCCGAAATGCGAAAATTTAAGGTTTCTATAAAAACTGAGACCTTCATAGGAATAACATGAGGTCTTCATTGGGAAAACTTGAGGTCTTCATTGGGAAGACGTGAGGTCTTCTTAAAGAAGACCTGAAGAATTCGTTTGGATGCCTAGGCCTAACATTTATAAATGAGCCGCGATGGTCCTCCTAAATGCGAAAATTTAAGGTTTCAATAACAACTTGATTTCGTTCAGAGCTGAAGTTTTCATTTGGAAAACCTGAGACTTAAGGTCTTCATTGGGAAGACCTGAGGACTTCTTAAAGAAGACCTAAAGTATTCATTTGGAGGCCTAGTTACTTTCAGACCGGATGCCTTTACGTAGTTGACTTAAGACCTTTATGGAGAAGACAAGAGATATCCATTGAGAAGACCTAAGATCTAAATAGAGAAGATCTGAGGTCTTCATAGGCACGGAAAACCTGAAGTTTTTTGCAGAGAAGACCTTCATGAAGAACACCGAAAACCTGTATACAAAAAGATTAATGCCTTCCTATAGAAGAGCTGCAACCTCTTCCTATAGAAGAGCTGCAACCTCTTCCTATAGAAGAGCTGCAGCCCCTTCGTATAGAAGAGCTGCAGCCCCTTCGTATAGAAGAGCTGCAGCCCCTTCGTGTAGAAGAGCTGCAGCCCCTTCGTGTCGAATAGCTGCAGCCCCTTCGTGTAGAAGAGCTGCAGCCCCTTCGTGTAGTAGAGCTGCAGCCCTTTCGTATAGAAGAGCTGCAGCCCCTTCGTATAGAAGAGCTGCAGCCTCTTCCTATAGAAGAGCTACAGCCTCTTCCTATAGAAGAGCTGCAGCCTCTTCCTAAAGAAGATATTGATATTGATAACTGAGGTCTTTATAGAGTAGATATGTTGTCTTAGAATGGAATAAAACGAGGTCTTAATGAAGAAGACCTAAAATCTTCACGGAATAGACCTGAAGTCTTCATGGAGAAGACCCGAAGTCTTTGCAGAACATGTGTGGTCTTCAAATATGAAACCATTTTTCTAGAGGGGCATTAATACTGTTGGTCTTCAAGAAACGACCTGGAAGAAATCTAATTTAAATGGGATAGGGTTAAGGGTTTATTATAATTTTGTTTATTCATATATTTTTTATTTATTATTTAAAGTTTAAATGTTGTTGAACAAATTTTTACAACAAAAAATCACTACTTTCCAGTTCTATTGCACTACACATTTACTATAAGCACCATGCCAAAAAGCGCACAAAATAAAAATGCACCTACATAAGGTAAAACAACGAGCACAGAGCACCCTTGCACCAAAATATATATGTACCAGAAATTATATTAATTCATAATAAAAAAAAATTAATATTAAATGGAAATTCAAATCGAAAAATTTAGGTGGCCTCAACTACGGACAGTTTCATGGGCTATGGACCCGTTACCCCCAAGGGCTATGGCTGTTCGTACAATCCACATCCCGAACAAATAATCTTTTGTGTTTCAGCATTTTATGCCTGTGAAGATACCAGTGCTTCACGTTATGCCAAATCACTGCAGGACTCTTTGGATATTATGAGAGATCTGTTGCAGGATTAAACACTAAAACGTGTCAGCTTCGAATCGCATAGAAATTATTCACGACTATAAAAACCCATCCTCCAACCAAAAGCAAAGAAAAAAAATACGAAACAAAACATATCATAAAATGTACCTTAACAAATGAAAATGAATGAACGAACAAACGAAGAGAATAACAAGAAACAAAACAATTAAATAATTATTGAAAAGATTTTAGAAAAATTATACAACCAAAAAAAAAAAAACAAAAATTAGTTACAATTATATACACACATATATATATACATAGAAAAATACATATTAATATATACATACATGCAAACTGAAAATTATTAAAAAAAATGAAAAGTATTGAATGTTATTAACTGAAAAAAAAAACAAAAGCAACAAAATAAGAAAACAAAAGTAGGGAAATCACTCACATGCCATTATGCATAAATAATAATTATTAATAATATTATTATTATTATTGAAGTTATCGAACAAAATAGTTGAAGTATAGAAAATGTTTTTTAGCTAAACTGTTGGAAGTACTATATAAACCATACAATAATTACATATATACATATATATATATACATATGAATTTAGCAAATGTCATCCACACTCACATAACCCCAATCTCATCCTAATATTTATTTAAAATAATCATATTTAAAAATGAAAGGCCTATTGAAAACCTTCCCTCTGTAGAAGACCTGGACAATCGAAGAAGACCTGCAATAGCTCTTCTCTCTGCAATAGACATTTAAAAACTCGTACATATATGGAACACCTGTTAGGGTTTTTTTATCCATAAAAGTTTCTTCAAACTAGTGGGTTTTAAAAACATAGAACCCCCTTATCAAAGGGTCCGCCTCTATAAAGATAAACGATTTCTATAGAGTTACGAAACTTCTATAAATTGAAGACCTATAAGAGGACTAGGGCTGATGGTCTGTGGTCAGAAAAGCTAGAAAAAATTTTAAGCCATGAAAGATTTATTAAAATATTGACTTGTGTAAGGATTTTTATGCCAAAAGATCTGAGAAATTTATTCTATACTTGGATGAAAGCCCCTAAATACCCGGCCGAGGACCGGCTATTAAAAACAAGGGTAATCTATAATATAGTATATATATCTTAATACCCCATCAAAAGGTCCATTCTCGACTTTTCCGGTGTTTTTCAGAAAGTTCCGTACAAAAAGTACCAATTTTTTTATTGCTCCGGAACCAGTTCCAACAACCCAATTGTTGGATAGGCATGACATGACCACTTGTAGGATAGGTATTTCCATAAACTTCCAACATGATAACCATTTTAAGCATATCAGTTTTGGATACCCGGGTTTTGTATCCGAACTTCCGGGTCGAATAATCGGTAACCCAAAAAATTTGGTTTGCCATAATTAGGTTAAAATACCTATTCCGTAATCGTTATTGACATAATAACCATTTTTATGGCGATTATGTCCGCAACTTTCTGAGAGTTATGACCGATTTTTTTATTCCCTCCACCATACTATGGAGGGTATATTAACTTTGTCATTCCGTTTGTAACTCCTCGAAATACTCATGTCAGACCCAACAAAGTATATATATTCCTGATCAGCGTCCGTCTGTCTGTCTGTCCGTCTGTCTGTTGTAATCACGCTATCTTTCGAACGAATTGAGATAGAAGGCTAAAATTTTGCACACGTGTTTATTTTTCCAGTAGGCAGGTTAAGTTCGTAAATGGGCCATGTATAAGTACCTCCCCCCATATATAAGTACCTCCCGATATTCGGTATTTTGATGATTTTAGCGACATTATTCATCGAAATTGTTTCAAATTTGGTATTTGAGATTCGTAATGGATACTACAGCCTATGACAGAAAATTGTCTGTCCGCGTCTTCGTTTAGCCCCCATATAACGGTACTTCCCAAAAATCGGTATTTTGATGATTTTAGCGTCATTATTTAACGGAATTGTTTCAAATTACTTGTGACAGTAAATGGTCTATGCAGGTACAGGTCTTCGTATAGGCCCCATATATCAGTACCTCTCTATATTCGGTAGGTACAATACCCACCGAAATTTTTTGAGATGTCGTATTTGACGTTCGTAATGGATACTATAGCCTGTGACAAAAAATTGTCTATGCTGGTCCAGGTCTTCGCACAGCTCCGATATAACGGTACCTCCCTATATACGATATTTTGATGATTTTAGCTACATTATTCACCGTTTATTTCAAGTTTCGAATTTGAATATGGTAATGGCTTATGGCAAACAAGGCCTATGTAGGTAAACGTCGTATAGACCCCAATAAAACGGCTATATTCGGTATTTTTAACATTTTAACAGCATTTTTAAGGACTTTATTTTTTAAAATTTCTAAATTCGTTCCAAATGGTGGAGGGTATTCAAAGTTCGGCCCGGCCGAACTTATTGCTTTTTAAATTATTTTTTTTTTATTGGCATCCCCATTCGGTTTATAAGTGGTATGACCAAAAAACCGTTAAAAACCCCATTATTGTTCTCGGCTTTATATCCGTGGGGAGTATAACACGACACCCATTTTTTTCACGACAATTGCAATAATCAAATCGCAAAGTGGTTATCCTATGTCCTCGATAGCCTCTATCTTTGAGGTCTTGAAACGATACTGGGCTGTTGGTGTAAGCCCTGGCTTTCACGGAGATCCAATGAAAAATGAAATCGCAAGATATGAAATCAAAAAAACTTGTTGTCTAATTGGGATGACCTCTTCAGGAATTCCATTATTTACATCACTGGCATATCGAACGAAAAAAGTAATTGTTTTGTGGCCATTAAAATCCGACAATTAAGCACTTTCAGTAAAAAAAATCGAAAAAATAAGTTTATCGATTTTTAGTAAACAAAATATAAGAACTTATCTTATTTAATCTGTCTAGAAAACTGAGAAACACTGCACCTTCCATTCAACTTGTCGGTATGGTCCATTCTAATAGATCGGCTCCCGTACCTTCTTCTATATTTGATCCGACTGTATATATAACCAGTCCGATTGGGTGCAGACTGGGCCCGCTCCATTCAACTCTATTTGAAATCTGTATCTTTTTTTTTCAACCTTTATGTTTGAAGTTATATAATCGCTGCTACATTTATGAGGGTTAAAGCTTACTTTAGCTCTCTAAATATTCATTAAACTGGTGTGACCTTACGTGTAGTATGGAGCGTATTCTATTCTCAAAGCCTCAACGCTCATCGTGCTGTCGAATTCGACCGGAGCGAGGTTGAGCTCATTAAGGCCATGTCACGTAGCTCCATCCTAAAGAAAATAAACTTTCTCCAAACCAATGACATCCAACTCGGACCACAAAAAAAAACAATGATCATCGTAACTTCGTATCCTACGTCATTTTCGAAAAATATGGTCTAATGATCTGTAAGAGATCTACTCAAGATCTTTTATCTACAATATCTATCAGTCAACTGTCTGTCAAGAGAAGAGTTGCCAACGGTCTTCTATCTGCAGGAGATCTGTCATACGTCTTTTATAAATAAACATTATAAAAATTGGTCTTTTCATATACACACATATACGTAAAGTGCTCTCGAACCCAAAAATACACCAGTGTGGAATCGGAGCATAAATCCTTAACTAAGATTGTTCAAATTTTACCTAAATTGTGTAGTTGTTATTTACACAAATTTATAATTTAATTTAATTTACCATAGAAAATAGTTCCTATCTTTGAAGCTTTAGTTACGTTTGTTAAGTTACTGTTAAGTTTTTCATATATACATACAGCCATAGAAACATACATGCATATGCCATGATTTCAAAAGGATTATAAATATTTCATATTACCCATGACTTAAAGCCAATATCAGACACCTGGCACGACCATGAAGGTACATTTACTTCGAAGAAAACCACTGAAATGCAACTCTGTTGTAGTGTTTTATTCTATTATATATTTTTCTAAAGGCCTGATTACACATGATGTTAGAGTCATATGTAAAATAACATTTTCGCATTTTATAATTTACATTTTTATAGCACACATTGAATGTAAAACTTAAAAAATAACACTAAATATATAAACTAGTTAGTATAGTGAACTTAAGTACCGATTACACATGATGGTAGAGTCATATGTAAAGTGACCTTTTCTCGATTTATATTCCACATTTTCAAAGCATACTTTGAGAAGGTACAAAAAATTTTTAAACTTAAAAGAAATACTATATCATATAAAACATATACTATATTTTACTTGAAATGCGCCTGTATTTTATATATTCTACACTTTAAATATAAATATATTATTGTATACTATACTATAAAGCGTCTCTTTTTAGACAAAAAATATTTTTGTGACCAACTCAAAGTAGGCTGCAAAAAAAAAATAGAAAATTGGGGAAAATTTCACTTTACATATGACTCTTACAACATGTATGATCTGGGAATTTATTTTTTTTCTTTACATTACAATTTTTCACAAATTTATTAAATTTGGGGTAGATATAGGAAACCTGAAATATGAATTTTACAACTGAATTTGAAATATTAATTTTTTATCGTTATAACTTAAATTATTATAGACAAATATATAAAATGTATAGATGTTATGGCAGAATAGGGACAGAAAAATACTTTGAATCATAGCATTATGCTACCTTTTATACCCTCAGCCATATGGAAAGCGAAGGTATATATCATTTGATACCGCCAAAACGTGCCTCATCGAAATAACGGTTTTAGACCCCAGGTGTCTTTGGACAAAATCCGTTTCAGGAAATTTGGAGTCCATCTAGAGGTGTCCGTCTGTCTGTCTGTCTGGCTGGTGCGCACGATAACTCTTGAAGGGAGTATCCGATTTGGTGCAAACTTATATATATATGCAAACTTATATATCGGTCTACTCCTCCTGAGACCTCCCCCCACAAAAAGTCGAAATTTTGAAAAAATAATTACTGCACCGAAAGAGAAAGGATCGTCCGATGTTCCTCCTACTTTGCAAATCCTAATATTTACATCACTGCTAGGTCAAGTGCGAAACTGGATAAGATCGGTCCCTTCCATCAAGTACCTTCCCCACAAAATTTTGAATAATTATATGTATTGTAAAATGGAATATTTCAGTTCACTCCTTCTGAAAAACCCCCCAAAAGGTCGCAATTTAAAAAAAAAAAAAAAACATTTTTCTCGAACTTTGCAAATCTAAACATTTACGTCAGATGCGAAAATGGCCAACATCGGTCCACTCCGTGAAGGTTCAAAATTTTGAATAATTCAAATTTCACACATCCCAATAATGTTATTAACCCAATGCCTGGTGTGAATATGGAATATATCGGTTTACTCCTTCTGATACCTCCTCCACAAAGAGTCAAAATTTTGAATATACATGAAGCGCATAAAACGCGAAATTTACCTCCGATTCCATTTAGACTTGGCACATCTGAATATTTCTATCAACACAAGACATTTTTTGAAGATGGTGAAGATCGGACCATTCCTTCTGGTACCTCCCCCACAAAGGGTCAAAGTTTTGACGATTATAAAATCCAAAATAAGTATCCTGTTCTTTTCTTATGTCACACATCCCATTATTTCTACTAACACAAAATTAGCTGTGAAGATGGTATATATGGATCCACTACTTCTGGTACCTCCTCCACAAAGGGTCAAAATTTTGAATAACCAAAACGATTATAAAATCCAAAATAACCATCCGGTTCTCTTCATATTTCACACATCCCATTATTTCTACTAACACAAGATCTGCTGTGAAGATGG